GGCAATTAAAAAGAACTAGGGTAGATTGAGGATTATTTGTTATTGATAATCCTCTTTTATTCCCATATGAAGAAAAACGTGGTATCAGGATTGGAGGAAGAATCATTAACAACCTGAGATATGCAGATGATACAGCTTTGCTTGCTGAAAGTGAGGATGACTTAAGGCACCTACTGATGAAGGTTGAAGAATACAGTCTGCAGTATGGATTACGTCTCAATATAAAGAAAACAAAAATCCTCACAACTGGACCAATGAGCAGCATCACAATAAATGGAGAGAAAATTGAGGTTGTCAAAGAATTCACGTTGCTTGGTTCTACAATCGATGCCAACGGAAGCAGCAGTCAGGACATTAGATGACGTGTAGCATTGGGGAAGTCAACTGCGAAGGAACTGTTTCAAGTGCTGAGGAGCAAGGATATCTCCTTGAGGACTAAGGTGTGCCTGACACAAGCCATGATATTTCCAATCGCCTGTATGCATGTGAGAGCTGGACAATGAATAAGGAAGACCGAAGAAGAGTTGATGCTTTTGAGTTGTGGTGCTGGCGGAGAATGCTGAAAGTACCATGGACTGCTAAAAGAACTAACAGATCTGTCCTGGAGGAAGTGCAGCCAGAATGCTCCTTGGAAGCAAGAATGGCCAGACTTTGTCTCACCTATTTTGGTCATGTTGTAAGAAGGGACCATTCCCTGGAGAAGGATGTCATGCTTGGTAGGGTGGAGGGTCGACGAAAGAGGGGGAGGCCTTCAAGGAGATGGATTGATACGGTGGCTGCGATGATGGGCTCAAGTATAGCAGGGATTGTGGGGCTGGCGCAGGATCGGGCAGTGTTTTGTTCTGCTGTGCATGGGGTTGCTATGAGTCGGAAACGACTCAACGGCACTTAACAACAACAACAACATTCCCATATGCTTTCTTGGGAAAGATAGAGATGGTATGTTAAAGGAATGGGAATAGATAAGACCTTGACCACTTTCCTGAGAGTGCCCACAGTGTCTCCTACATATGCAGTTGTCATGGGGCAAAGGATTTTGACCTGCTAGTCTAGAGGACCTATTCCGCAGCTGTGTGTAGATCACATGAAGCCAGTAGGATCACACCTAAATCACTCAATGGTCTGAATGTAACAGACATTGGGCAGAAATACAAGGTCTTGACCCAAGACCCAAATATTGTTCATTTTCAGGAGGAGAACACTAGTATTTTGTTTGTCTGTTTTGTTTTTCAAAGGGACATGGTTTTAGTTGGTGGGAATTGTATTAATAAATCAATAATTGGATGTGATCTTGAAAATGCCAGATCAGTTTTAGGCTACATTTATAGGAATATAGTAACTAGCGTGAAGGAGGCAGTGGTTCCATTTTGTCCCACCTTGGTCAGTGCACACATACATCACTACATTCAGTCCTATATGTATCACTTTAAAAGGAATAAAATAATTCTTTAATCCTAGTCAAAGCAAGAGTTTTATATTTGTGTTCTAAAAGTTTAGATTTTGGTATACTTTTATATACGTGGTTCTGGAATAGTATGTTGTTGTTGTTATGTGCCATTGAGTCGGGGTAATCGATTTATAAAGAAACCTCTAATTTGTGAAACCCACTGGCCACTCCTTAGAAGGAAGGTTGGGCAATCTACTTCTTAGTGATACCGCCTTGGAAACCCAAGGAGGGGTCGCTATGAGTTGGGTCTGACTTGACGGCAGTGAGCTTTTTGAGAATTTGTGAAACGCAAATGCAAAGTATTTTCTCAAGTATTTTGCTGATATTTATGAAAAAGAAATGTGGGAAAATACAGCTACAAAATTCACTAAATCTCATAACATTAAAGGCAGGTTTGAAAACTTAATAATTATGTTGTTGTTGTTATGTGCCATCGAGTCAGACCCGACTCATAGCGACCCCTCCTTGGGTTTCCCAGGCAGTATCACTACGGAAGTAGATTGCTCCATCTTCCTTCTGAAGAGTGGCTGGTGGGTTTGAACCGCCAGCCTTCTGGTTAGCAGTCAAGTGCCTTAGCCATTATGCTACCAGAGCTCCTAATAATGATAGTAAACACTTAACATGTTTACTCATTATACACTGGTCTAAGTAGTTTTTACATGTTAGTTCATATAATTCTCAGAAAACTCTATGAAGTTGGTAATGGAATCATCTCCACTTTGTACATGAAGAAACAAGGGTACAAAGAACTTAAGTACTTGCTCAAGATTATGCAGCAACCAGTAGGTTGCAGAGCTGGGATTTGAACTGGGATCCAGGCTCAAGCATACAGGGTGTGCATCAAAAGGACATTCTCCCTTGGCAGACCGGGATGCTAAACCTTTGTTATTGCATAAGCCACTCAAGATAGTGGTATTAGATAGTGTAAGATTGTTAACACTTGCAAATATCCTTCACTCTGGAAGTGTTTTTTTTTAACATTTGTTTGCTCCCAATGATAAATGCACACACATGTGTATACACACACACACATCTCCATTTACATTTTCGTTGCTTCTCCCCAATTCCTTATTTTATATGAGACCTTTATGTTGCCAAACACTGTAGATCTTATGACTAAATTCTTTTCAAAGAGCCTAACCTATTTGAAAAGGATACTGGAGCAACTCAGAAATGAAGAAGACCCGTGGCAAAGAAGGTGGCTCCTGGAACTTTGGAGACTAGAAATAAATACAGAACACCCTCTACTCTCTCATTCTGTCATCTCTGCTTTTCTCTGGGTTTTGGCTGACTCCCAGGCTACCTCTGGTGGCAGAGGATGTGGCTTCTCTCTCCCAGCCACTGCTGGACAAACCGTGCAGGTGGCCCCAAGTGGCCTTGCCCACGTTGCATGCCTAAAACCCATATGAGAGCTATCTGGAGGTACTAAGATCCTTACTACTGATATGTTTACGGAGGGGGGACAATAAATGTTCAGTGATGCTATTAAAGAATTCAAGTATTATGTGGGTTATTTGACTAAGTGCCCTCTTTAAGCCTGTGAGTCAAGAAGTCTGTCAGATGCCATTGTGTAATTTCCTTTATATTAATGGTAGTAATTTTGCATTTGTATAGTACTTTAAATTTAACAATTAAAACATGCTAACAATGAATGTATAGACAGACTGTGGTACATACACACAGTGGTATACTGCACAATGTTAAAGAACAACAGTGAAACACCTCATAATGTGGGTGAACCTGGAGAACATTATGCTGAGTGAAGTCTGTCAGTCACAAAAGAACAAATACTGTATGAGACCACTAATATAAAAAGTCAAGAGAAGGGTTTCACACAGAAGGAAGCGTTCTTTTATAGTTTCCAGGGTTAGCAGGGGCAGGGAGTATAAATCACTAACTAGACTATAGACACGTAGTAACTTGGTTGAAGGGGAAGGCAATATACAATAAGGGGGAGGCCAGCACAAAGTGGTCAGGGCAAAGGCAGACGCTGGGAGGCATATAGAGTCAACCAAGAGGTGAATACAGATACAGTCCTGTAATAACAGTAAGAATGATAATCTGTGAGTAGATACATAGACATGCAAGCTGAACAGGCGAACAGGAGTAGGAAGTCTAATGGAACTGCACCCACAAATATATATAGGCTTGGCAGAGGATATTTCTACTTATGTATTTACACATACTGCAGATATATCCGTGATAAATTAGAGCATACAGGGGACAGAGTTATGAAAACGTATTAGGCACAACCAGACACCTTAAGGGAATGAGTCAGTGGATCTGGGAGCTCAGGACCATACACTTGGGGGACATCATGGCCACCTGGCACAACATAGTCCACAAAGAAAATATTCTACATCCTACTTTAGTGAGTAGTGACTGGGCTCTTAAAAGCTTGTGAGCAACCATCTAAGGTGAAACCAATGGTCCCTTCTCGTCAGAGCAAAGAAGGAGTGAAGCAAATCAAAGACACATGGAAACAATGAGTCCAAAGGACTGATGGACCATGCTGACCTCAGTCTCTACAATCCTAAGACCAGAAAAACCAGATGGTGAATGACTACCACTCTAAAAGGGATCACATCAGACGTTTCTGGATAGAGTGAAACAATACTCAAAATCATAAAAAAGACCAGGCTGCCTGGTCTGATAGAGACTGGTGGAGCCCCTAAGACTATGCGCTTGTCACCCTTCAAGCCTGGAACTGAATTCACTTCCATGACTCAACTTTCAGCCAAACAATAGACAGGCCTATAAGATGGACATTAACACTAGTGAAGTATGTACCCTTAGAACAGTCAACCATTCAAGATCCCAAGGACAAAGTTCAGAAGGGACAGGAAAGAAGGAAGAATAGAAACAGGAAACGCAGGGAGGAATTGAGATGAGTGATGTTACATTGTGGGGATTACAATCAATGGCATGAAACAAAATGTATATGAATTGTTGAATGGACAATTGATTTATTCTGTACATCTTCACCCCCATTCCCGCCCCCCCCCCAAAAAAAATATCCTTGGTGCAGTTTCTGTAAAAGTATAAGCAATTTTCGTTTCAGTTGTCAGATATGAAATATACAATCTAAAATGTCAGAATCCAAACCCAAATCATTTCAAACACTAGAGAATGGGTATAAAAACAGTCTTTGAGCTATGTAACTCAATGTTCCTTTACCATTCTCCCTGTTCTTAGGTTTGCTTTGAACTCTAGTACACTTCCTGATTGACATTTACATGGGTATGTTGTGATTGACCCACAAAATGTAAAATCCTTGGCCTTATTTCAGCTACTTTTATAATCTCATCATGTCTTGTTCATTGTTCTTTTTTGTGTCTCATCTGCAGCAGGCTACAAAATAAGTGCCAAGTGAAGCACATGTGAATAAATAAGGTTACTTGATACACATAGCTACTCTCCCTACGAGCTATAAATTTGTCCAGTAGGCACCTCTTCCTTCTGTTGCCCCTCTGTGAGCCCTTTGTCTGTCTTTGGTAGACTAGTTAACATAGATAGATGTGAACATAATTAAGGTAATGGTTTGATATTTCAGGAAGCTATGGAGCAGCTAACCCAGCTTCTACCAGAAGACCTCAGAAAGGAGCTCTATGAACTTTGGGAAGTAAGTACATCTGATTGTGGATTAGTTTTCTAGGGCTGCCATACCATTTACCACAGTCTTGGTGGCATAAAACAGCAGGAATTTATTCTCTGACAGTTCTGTGAGTTCAGGTGAAGTCTGAAACCAGAGACAGCGTTAGCAGGGCCATGATCTCTCTGAAGCCTCTAGGGGAGAATCTGTTGTGTGCTTTCTCAGCTTCTGGTGTTGCTGGCAATCCTTAGCATTCCTTGGTTTGTAGAGGTATCATTCCGTTCTCTACCTCTGTTACCACACCGTGTTCTACTGTGTGTTCTTTTCCTTTTCTTTTAAGGACACCAGTCATAGTGGATTAGGGCCCACTCTCATGACCTCATCTTAACTTGATGGCATTTGCAAAGATCCTATTTCCAAGTAAGGTCCAAGTAAGGAGTTAGGACTTCAACAAGTATTTTAGGGGGCACAATTCAGCCCAAACAGGTAAGTTTCTTTTTGTTTATGGTAACTGAATTTTTAGGTCCCATCACTGTTTGAAGGGGCTCTGGTGGTATAGTACCTAAGGCATTTAACTGCTAACCAGAAGGTTGACCATCCAAACCCACCAGCTGCTCCATGGAAGGAAGTTGGGACAGTCTACTTCCATAAAGATTAAGGACTTCTGATGGCACAGTGCTTAAGGCATTTGACTGCTAACCAGAGGTTGGCCATTCAAACCCACCAGCCCCTCTGAGGAAGAAAGATGGGACAATCTCCTTTCATAAAGATTTACTGCCTTGGAAACCCACTAGGGGTCACTATGAGTCAGAATTGACCCGATGGCAGTGGGTCTGGTATCACTATTTTAGTTGACTTAGATTATCTTAAGAAGCTGTCTCTGTTACTTTTTGGTTATGTCTGTTCCTCACCTCCAGCTGCTGCAGAAATTTCTCAGCATGATAGAAGTTTGCTTTCTTCTCAGATTTCCTGTTTCTCTTGCCACCACAATGCCTGCTACGGATCCTGACTCTTAGCCCCTGGATTTCTTGTTGCTTTGCCCTCATTGCCTGCCTTGCCAACCCCACACCCAACCACCTAGATCTGCCCTGGAAAAAAAATGGGGTGAGGTAGTTCTGAAGTGAGTTCAAATCTCACTTCACCCTGGGCACGTAACCTTGGACATGTTGCCATCACTGAATTGGTTTTTTATCTCTGAAGGCTTGGCCGGTTGTTAGGGCTGGGTGAGGCGACACAGGTGACATGATGCCTGGCAGAGTAGGGGCTCTCATTGCTCGCTCCTTCCCCAGTGCTGCTGAGCACAAGGACTGCAATGGCAGCATTGTTTGGAAGGACAGGGCAGGAGGAACAGAAAGGGCAAGGAAGGCTGTTGTGTTCCCCCAGTTCCTCACTCTCCTGTTGTTGTTACGTGCCGTCAAGTCAGACCCGACTCATAGCGACCCCTCCTTGGGTTCCCGAGGCAGTATCACTACGGAAGTAGATTGCCCCATCTTCCTTCCGAGGAGTGGTTGGTGGGTTTGAACCGCCAGCCATCTGGTTAGCAGTAGAGTGCCTTAGCCACTATGCTACCAGAGCTCCCCCTCACTCTCCTAGGTGCTGTTTTTCGTTTGTGAGGAAAACAACCCTTCCTACTGCAGTCTAATTTCCCTCCATTCAGCCCTGGCCCTTCTCTGCTCAGCCCCAAGACCCACCCTTATGCCCTACTCTTGTATAGCACTGCCTCCCACTCTCACTTTTTTCAGTTGCTTCAAAGCTTTAATTCAGTCCTTCTGTCTTCAGAGCCTGAATTTTGTTTCCACAAACCCACGCCCCTGCCTGGCTTTGTTCTCTCCTCTAAGCAGGCAGTGTTCCCTTTCCCATTCCCTTGTGTGCTGGATCACACCTTGGTCTTGGAAGATGGGAGCAAGAAGGAAAGTGTACTAGAAGTGCCCTGTTAACGCTGTGGTCAGACTCTGTGGTGTACTCTCATTTCTCTGCTTTGGCTACATCATGGGACAAAACAACTCTTTTAGGGCAGCGGGGTGTCGGACCTGCAGCCAGAGAGACCTGGGTTTAAATCTCCTTGCCTTACTATCTGGATGACCTTGGGTGAGCTACTCAACTCCAGTCATCCTTAGTTTCCTTCTTTGCAGAATAAGCTACTCAACTCCAGTTGTTTCTTCCTTTGCAAAATGAGACACCAGGCCCACACACCTTTATCCATCCTTCTGAAATCCAAAAGCTCAGGGAGCTGTTTTCTGAAACTCACTTGGTAGTGAAGCCTGACTAGACCTGAACTCTTTTGGTAGCAAAATCTGACCTGAACCACAATGAGGCTATTCCGAGTTCCCATTCATCACCTGTGGTGTGAAAATTAAAATGCTCTGATGTGGAAATAATTGCTTGTTTGATAACCAACTCCTGCCTTGGATCCCACTAGGAGTATTCTGTAATATGCACTGTATGTACTATATCATTTTTCTAAAATTAAAAAAATGTTGAAATCTGAAACATTTCTAGCCTCAGGGTATTAGATGAAAGATTGTGGGCCTTTAATTACCTACCTTTTTGAATAATTGTGGGAATTAAATACGGCAAAGTATGCATGACGTTTGACCCAGAGTCTGACACAGGGTGATATCTAGAATGTGTAACAGCGTTTCCATAGGAAAATGTGTCCCTTGTTACAAAGTATGTACTTTCAAGTGAACTTTTGGAACCCCATTGAGTTGGAGCTCTAGTGGCATAGTGAGTAAGGAAGGCATTTGGCTGCTAACCTGAAGATTGGTGGTTCAAATCCACCAGTTGCTCCACAGGAGCAAGATGAGGCAGTCTACTTCCATAAAGATTTGCAGCCTTGGAAACCCAGTGGGGGTTGCCATGTGTTGCAGTCGGGAGCTCTGGTAGCATAGTGCCTAAGGCACTTGACTGCTAATCAGAAGGCTGGCGGTTCAAACCCACCAGCCACTCCTCAGAAGGAAGATGACGCAATCTGCTTCTGTAGTGATACTGCCTCAGAAACCCAAGGAGGGGTCGCTATGAGTCGGGTCCGACTCGACGGCACATAACAACAACAACATGTATTGCAGTCGACTCAGTGGCAGTGGGTTTGTGAGTTGAAATTAGGTTGCATCTTATCCGTAACAAGAAAAAAAACAAAAGACTTGATTACTCCACAGGTAACAATTTTGCTGTCTTGTAAATGCCGTTGGTTGAATTCATTAAGCTTGTGAAAGAAAGTCTCAGGTCAGGTGCACAGTGCCCACCCTTCAGTGTGACAGTCCTCTCTAGAACTGTTGCTGCCAAAATAATCAACAATTTATAAAACAAAGACAGTGAATTAAAATTCTTTATTGGTAACACTGTGGGATGTCAGTGATTGGTATAAAGGAAAAAAGCTGTGAGCTTTTTTGCTTTCTGGGATGAACCATCATCTTTGCATGTCATGAAAAGACTTGGGGACATTTTTTGTTTTTTGTTAAGGACCAGAGGGAAATAAGCGAAGCAACTAATATACAGGAACATATTTTTCAGACAGAATTGTAGAAATTTATTCATACTAAACATTATTCATGGCTCTTGACCTCTCCTTAACCTATTGGTAGACCCCACTGAATGAAGTAGCTGCTGCAGATTGGTAGGATGAGTTCAAGAGGGACTCCAGAGGTGCAGACAGAGCATACTGTTGGAGCCTCTGTTTTTATTGTTGGGTGAAGTGTGGGTGTGGGTGTGGGTGTGGGTGTGGGTGTGTTGTATGTGTATGTGCACATCGGTGCATGTAAATTTCAACTTACCTGGAAATCATTTTAGAAAAGGGGGAAATATTCACCTCTAATGTCTAATGTAGGAGTTCTCGCGGCATAGTGCCTAAAGCATTTGACTTCTAACCAGAAGGCTGGTGATTTGAACCCACTAGCCACTCCTCGGAAGGAAGATTGAGCAATCTACTTCCATAGTGATGTTGTTGTTGTTGTTGTTATGTGCCGTCAAGTCAGCCCAGACTCATAGCGACCCCTTCTTGGGTTTCCAAGGCAGTATCACTACGGAAGTAGGATTGCCCTACCTTCCTTCCGAGGAGTGGCTAGTGGGTTTGAACTGCCAGCCTTCTGGTTAGCAGTCAAGTGCTTTAGCCACTATGCTACCAGAGCTCCGTAGTGATACTGCCTGGGAAACCCAAGGTGGGGTCACTAGGAGTTGGATCCCACTCCACGGCAGTGAGTTTGGTTTTTGTTTAATGTCTAATGTTACTTTGTAAAAATGGTTTTGGGCACTGGAATTGTCCATAATTTCTTTGATCATTTCTTCCCATCCTGTGCCTATTAACCCTGTTATTTCAATCAGTACAACTTCACTCTCTTTCTATACATAATACATGTACAGAATCTTCTGGCAAGAAAATCTAGCTCTGGGTGGTACCTAAGAAGGGGACATTGGTGTCTCTCTTTCTCTCTGATAATTTTTGGTAATACGAGGTGACTGTTATTTTCTTACCTTGCCTTTAATTATCTCTGTATTCTGTTAGTCTCTTTACTACATCTGTGTAGAGTTTGTCAGTTACAACTGAAAGAAACCTGATTTAAACGCTCTTACTTATGTATAAGAAAACTAAGGACCAAAAAAACCTTGCCTCGGCAAAGATCTCTTAGCTAATTGGTAACGAAGCCAAGCCACATCTCTAACTCCTAGTTCGACGTTTTTTTATGTCATTATGCTGCATGTTGATTAATTGAATAAGCAATTATGGTTCTGTTGTATTCATGTTGCTAGTGCATATATTCTGATTTTGGTTTCAGAGACTGTTCTTATTCTGTACCCTTAGAACTCAGAATAGTTCTAGTTACACAGAAAATGCTAGTTGATTGATAACTGAAATGTTAATCACAGCCATTCACCACTATAAATAGCTGTCAGCCCAGAGGGTCACATCTATTTAGAGCAATTAAACATCCTTGATTATAATTTATCTTTTGCCATAGAAGTGTGAAATCAAATTTCAGCAAGCCAAGAGAAAACATTTTCTTTTTTTTTCCTCAAAGTATTGCAGAAAGATG